CGCTCGTGCGTGTGAAAGTATGTATAAAATATGTAAATGTATGTATATACCTGTATATGAATGTCTGTCAATCTGCCTACCCGACTATCTGCATACGTACATGTACGTATATCCGTGCCTGGATGTGCGTACAGTACGTATACGTACGAACGTATGTAGGAATGCAAAATGCGCCTCGGCGTATCCCGCACGCACATACCCTCAGCGCCCCCCCCCCCCTGCGAGGCAAACGAACGTGCGAAAACGCCCTTCCTTCGCCGCCATCCGCGACCTCCCGCGGCCGGCCCGATCACCCCCCACTCCCGACGTAGCCCTTCCCCTCCCCCCCGACGTAGCCCTTCACCCCTCCCCCCTGACGTAGCCCTTCACCCCCCTCTGACGTGGCCCTTCACCCCCGCGCAGTCATCGCTCATCCGCCGACAGTTAGAGCACCACGCACGACCTGCGCCAGAAAGTGCATCTCACGAGGAGGAGGAGCGGCGGCGGAGGCGACGCGGCCGGCCGACCGTGGATGGCCCCTCGCCCCCTCGCCCCCTCGCCCCTTCGCGCCGCTTGGCCGGGCGGGGAGGGGGGGGAGGTCTGGTCATTGGGCCATGTCTCGTAGGTCAGGCAGGTTGGTGAGCAGGCAGGCAGGTAAGCAGACAAATAAGCAAACAGGTAAGCAGGCAGACAGGTAGACAGACAAAGATACAGATACGCAAACGTTACCGACTGCTTTTTTCTAACTAATGGACGTCTAGTTCCGACCCATCCTCCCTATCCTTCCTTCTTCCCCTGCTACTCCCAGCTCTCTTTGGGATCCCTTTCGAGACGGCTTTCGGGAACCCAGAATCACGAGAGACGAAATGACCTCAAATTCCTCCTGAGTTTAAGGGAGAAATTAACAGGTCATTCCGTTCATTAGAAAAGACCTCTAATCCCTCCCTAAACCTCGGGAAATAGCAGCTGGTTCGAGAAAATGACAAAGAGACAAGCGCCCACAAGTCCTCCACGATGGCTGCGAACTCCAGCCCACTTCCAAGCGTGAGGAAAATCTCAGAAAAACACAAAAATAACAAATCGGAAAAGGAAGAGAAATCCTCACCAGGTGGATTGAAATGTTCTTGTTCTAAACCGGTAATCAAAAGCTAAATCTAACATCCCTGCTAATCTGTCTTCGCGAAATTTCATGTGCCTAATTAGCTCCTGAAACGGGCAAACATCCTTCATTATGATAAAGAGCCTGCACTTCCGAATAATAGATGTCCTGCATTCTCTCTCTCTCGCTGAGTGGAATCCCCGAATATTCCATCAAGCTCAACCGTTAGAAATAAACACCCAAGAAATGCATGGGAAATAAGTGGACCTCCCCCAGACCTAGAAGTAAACACCAAGAAACGTTTGGGAAATAAGTAAAGAACGCCTGATCCAAGAAAATCATCAAGAAACGTTTGGGAAATAAGTAAAACACCTGATCTAAGAAACAATCCAAGAAACGTCGGGAAATAAGCAAATACCTGACCCGACAAAAACAAACACCCAAGAACCGAATGGGAAATCTTAAGAGCCTTGACCCCCCCCCCCACCCCCCCCTCCCCCTTTCCCTTCCCACGGCCGAGTATAAGAACAACAAGCGCGTGTACCCCGAGCGCGGACAGCCCACAAGCGCTCTACGGACAGTCCAAACAGCGGGGCAAACAACGGCTTTCCGCTGCGGGCCATTTCGGGGCTTGAGCCAACAGCCGACACCTCCGGCTCGCTCTTTCCGCTGGCCAGGCTCTCGCGTCTCGGGAATTTCCCAAGATTGAATCGGTCAGGTATGTGCGTGTGCCTCGGACGGAACCTGGAAAATGATAATGCAATCCCCGCGAGATATCAACTATGACCAAGCTGTTTAATTACTAAAAATAAATAAATAAATAAATAAATAAATAAATAAAAAAACTTAAATAAATAAATAAAAGCTAATAAATAAAATTAATAAAAAATAAATAAATAAATTAATTAAAAACTAATAATAAATAAATAAATAAATAAATAATAAATAAATAAAAAAAACATAAATAAGAACGAGTGCATTACGAAAACCATAAAAAACCTAACCGATATTTCCTCTCCCCCTCTCGTCTTCCCCCAAAAAAAACGACAACTCTCCTACAAAACCCCTCCATCGATAACGAACCCCTCCTCCCCCCACCCACCCCACACACACCTGGTGGTCGTAACAGGTATCCTGACTCAGACGCTATTCCAGGCAGTCCTAGTGCCAAGAACGTGCGCGCGACCGCCTGCATATCCATTAGTAAAATATGAAAAGCGTCCTTTAACGCGGAAAGGGAGAGGCGAGACGGGAGAGGGGAGAGAGGAAGAGGGAGAGGAGAGGGAGAGGGAGAGGGGAGAGGGGAGAGGCGAGAGGGGGAGCTGGGAGAGGGGAGGGGGAGAGAGCCACGTAAGGGGGAGAGGGGAGAGTGCCAGGTAGGGGAAGGGGAAAGGAGCCTGGTAAGGAGGGAGGAGGGAGAGAACCAGGCAAGGGGAGAGAACACTAGAGGGGGGAGGGGAAAAACCCAGGTAAAGGGGGAAAGGGGAAACATCCAGGTAGGGGGTAGAAAGGAGAGCCAAGTAGAAGAGAAGGAGAGACAGAGAGACAGAGAGGGATGGGTGGGGGTGGGGGGGGTGGGTAGGAGGGGTGAGAGAGACCGATCCGCCGAGGACAGGTGGCCATGAGCTGATGGATAAGACGCGAGCCCAAAAGCCGGAATACCGATGATGTAACCCTCGAGATGCTCGCTCACCTGCCTGTCTTCTGCTCACCCCCCTCCCACCCCCTAACCCCTCCCACCCCCTACCCCCTCCCACCCCTACCCCCTACCCGTCATTCGCTCTCGACATTTCTCGCGCCTCTATACTTTCTCGTTTCTAGTTTTCTCTCTCTCTTTCTTTTTCCTTCTCCTTGCTTTGTCCCACATCCCGCCCCTCTTTCTCTTTTCATATTTCCCCTTTTTTTCTATCTCCTCCTCTTCGCACTTTCCCTTCTCTCGTTCCTCTCTAATTTCTGTTTCTCTTTCTCTCTCTCTATTTTCACCTTTTCTCTACCTCCCTTCCTCCTCTCTCCTTCCATTTCCCTCTTATCCTCCTCTCTCTGCTTTCTCCTCCGTACGCCATTCTCCTCCAAGGGTCCTGATACCGCGCTTAGCATTAG